ATCTCTCTCTCCTCTTCTTTCTCCTCCTCCTCACTCCTACGTGTGAAGAGCAAAAGACAAAAAAAGAAGTCTACATTCCGTTACATACAAAATTCTTCGTTCAAAGTCTTGAGCAAAAATAAAAAATGAGGTCTATGTACTCGCTACTCATGCATAAAGAATATTTTTATTTTTCTACATGAAAAAATATTTGAAAAAACTTATGCCAGTTTGATAACTATTTCAATTTTAGTTTTTAGTGTTCATTTTTGTGTTAGTAATTGGATTAAAGGTTTTTATGTTAATTTGGGTGTTGGGTCAGTGATTGAGGCTGAGTTATGGGGAATTTTTTGGGGGCTCCATTTAGCTTGGGAAGCTGGGTTTCGAAGCGTGGAGGTTGAATGTGACTCTAAGTCTGTTGTGGTTCTGTTACAAAATCCTCCTAGTCATACTCATTCTCTTTTTAGCATTATCAATTGCTGCTATTTGCTGATTCAAAAGGAGTTTTGCTGTTCTGTCAAGCACATTTTTTGGGAGCATAATTTTGTTGCTGATTCTTTGGCTTCTATGAGCCATGATCTTCCCTTGGGTTTGCATATTTTGGATTCAGGGCCTGGTGTGGTTGTGGAGCTTCTTGCTGCTGATGCCAGAAGCTTGGCTCGTCCAAGGATGATTGTTGTGTAGTTCTTTTTGTGTTGTTTGGGCTTCGGCCCCCTATTTTACCAAAAAAAGAGAGGGAGAATTGAAGTGAGGACAAGAGTAAAGATGAAATTGAGAGGGAACATGAGAGAGGAGGATGAGAGGGAGGAGTAATAAAAGTGAAAACTAAAACTAAAAACTAAAATCTATTTGAAATTGTTTTCACTTTCAAGTTCTTGTTTTCACTTTTGTTACTTCTCCCTCCCACTCTCTCTTTCAATCCTATTTTCATTTTCATTTTCCTCTATACTCTAGCACAAAAAATGAGAAAATAAATAAAATGAAATAGTTATCAAACGGGCTCTCAGTCACTAATAAGACAACCATTATTGGGCCTCAAAGCTTAAAGCTCCAGTTCATTACTACTTAAGGGCAAATACAAGACTGAACTTGGTGACCATAAAAAAAGGTCCACTGTTTAATGTCTAATGCTCGGAAAATATTTATGCAAGTGACAGTGTTATCTAATGGGAAAAAAAAGAAGGGGTCGCCTCGATGAGGAGCTCGGGTTGGTCGCACCTTGTGCCCTTGCTCATGGCAGGCCCTATAAAATACTAAATTTGGAGTGTAAGATAAATAGTGGTTCCGATGAAGTTGTGTACTAGGTGTTTGTGATAATAACAGTCTTGGAAGTTAGGTGCACGTAGAATTCCTCCAGAGTCATTTTCAACGTGCATCACATCGCAGCAACGCATTGGGTCAGTTGGCACAAAATTCTTAAGGCCTAAAGAAAACTTAGACGGACTTTGCTTGTCAAGTTCGTATGGGTTTTACTTGGGCTTTGTATCAACCCAAGTACATAAGCACCCACTTTCTCTAAAGCTGACCCAGAAATTGGGGAAGCAAGTGGAACGGTGTTTGTGACTTCCAAGAAGAATCATGTGTTCAATGCAACTTCTTGCATTTGGGGTGGGGAGGGAGTTGAATGGTTGGTTAGTGAAAAACGTGTGTGTTTGAGTACGCGTGTCATTCTTGCTAATAACAATTTAGTAATTAGTATAGTGACACTCAATTTTCATTTCATCATAAAAAAAATCTAAGCTTTTTAGCTAATAAATTATAATTCTTGGATTAAAAAAAGGAAAAATGCTCTATTAAGGATTTTATGTTAAAATTGGTTAAAGAATTCTAATTTTAGTCATTTGATTGCATGTATAATGCATATTAAATTCACTAACATATCTAATGGATGTCTGAGATTAAAAGTCTCATTAACTTAAAATCCTTACGGAGAAGCTCCTAAAAACAAGTTGTGTTAATGAGGAGAAAAAATTGAGCAAAAGAATGAGATGATGGTTTGGTTAACACTTTGGTTAAATTTTTTTTTTTGGCTCACACTTTGGTTAATTGTTTGAAAAAAAAAATCATAAAAAAATAAAGAAAGAATAACACTTGTTGCAAACAATGAGATAGTATATAGCACTTGTTTTGGTCAAATTACTAGTCTCCAGGACTTGAAACAGAGTCGGTGAGATATCAATCATCAGCTTCCAAAAATGAGTAGCAGAATCTCTGCGAAAACCAACACAAACCCAATGTCTCAGCAACAAGAAGAATTAAAGGAAGAAGAAGTGGGCAAGTTGGCTATAAGATTAGCCAATGCGGTGATCCTACCAATGGTTCTAAAGTCAGCCATTGAACTCAACATCATAGACATCATCTCCGCTGCAGGGGATGGCAAGTTCCTCTCACCTTCTGAGATTGCGGCTAGCCTTCCCACCAAGAACCCAAACGCCCCGGTTCTGCTGGACCGGATGCTGAGGCTTTTTACAAGCCATTCTATTCTCAAATGCTCGGTTCGAACCGGCCAAGATGGGAAGGTGGAGAGGCTGTATGGTGCTGGTGCTCTATGCAAGTTTCTTGTCAAGGATCAGCATGATGGAGTTGGGTCTGTTGGGCCTTTGCTTCTGCTGCATCATGATAAGGTCTTCATGGAGAGCTGGTATGTTTCAAGTAGGCTTTTGGGTTTGTTGGGATTTGGGGGTGTTGTTATTAGTTTTTCTTAGTGTGTTGATTAATTTTGTTGTTGGGGTTTTTGGGTAGCTACTAATTTTCAATATAAACTTGAATGTTTTATGTTTGCTGTTGCTGTTGTGTTGGGAATGTTTTATGTTCCTTTGTTTCTGCTGCACCATGATAAGGTCTTCATGGAGAGGTGGTTATGTTTTCAATTTGGGCTTTTGGGTTGGTTGGGATTGGGAGTGCTGTGAATTTTGCTTAGTGGGTTGATTAATTTTTTTTGTTGGGTGGCTACTGGCTTCGAATTTTACTAGAATGTTTTGTGTTTGATGTTGCTGTTGTGCTGGGAATGTTCTATGGTCTGGAATGTAACTAGATTCACTGTTTTAGACCATGAATTTGTTGTTTAGAATCAAGTAATGCTAACACTTCAAGTTAGATGTGTGTTTGATAAAATTTGTGTTTTTATGTGGATACTTTGGCATACCAATTATTTGTGACTTCCAGGTGCCACTTCAATGATGCAGTATTAGAAGGCGGAATTCCATTTAACAGGGCTTATGGAATGACAGCCTTTGAGTATCCAGAAACAGATGAGAGGTTCAATCGGGTATTCAACCAGGCCATGTCAAACCACACTACCTTAATCTTGAAGAAGATATTTGATGTTTATAAAGGGTTTGAAGGCCTCAATGTGTTGGTCGATGTGGGGGGTGGAATTGGTGTCACTCTCAATTTGATCACCACCAAGTACCCCCACATTAAGGGCATTAATTTTGATTTGCCACACGTTTTAGCTGATGCTCCTTCTTATCCAGGTACTGAATTATTTCTTGGTATTGGAACGTGCATTGGCAGTGTTCTACATGATTTGATTATGCATCAATGCTTAACTGCAAACTACGTTTCTTATCAATTCCGTGCTGCACGTATAAAAACTTAATGAAAGGTTTGTCATTGTGCAGGTGTGGAGCATGTTGGGGGAGATATGTTTGTAAGTGTTCCACAAGGAGATGCTATATTCATTAAGGTAAGGCCTCTGTGTTCTTGCTGTTATCCATCATTTAGTTGTCAGTAAATTTCCAAAATCACTGTATTCGTTTGCATACTTAAGTGCACTGGGTATATAAAGATCTTCTTCATGTTGAGCGGAATCAATGTGTTCCAATTTCTGGCCTTGCACCGACCATCCAATGGACCATGGACTATTTACATTGCACTTCAATTTTCTGTTGTGGTTGAACTCACTACTTTTGAGTGAAGTCCTGAGTGATTATCATCAAAATGATAATTATGTGCTGATTTAGATTACACATTGAGAAACCCCTCAAGAACTAGAGTCTATGGCCATGAATGTGACCACTAATATTCTCCTCTGATATATACTTAGGAAGAAGCTGTAGATGAAATTCCTTTTTTCTCTGGTGTAGGCTGTAGGCTGTTGTTTTAGTCTCATTTAGCCCCAAATGGATATAATTTGGCCGCAAAAAACTTCAAATGTTTTTATCTCGATTGTTGTGTTGACTTTGTTGATGAAACTTGCAGTGGATACTTCATGATTGGAGTGATGAGCATTGCTTGACACTTCTCAAGAACTGCTGCAAAGCTCTTCCCAGCTCTGGAAAAGTTATCATTGTGGAATCAATTCTTCCCGACATTCCTGACAGTAGTGTTACATCGAACATTGTCTGCGAGCAGGACTTACTCATGCTAACAGTAAACCCCGGAAACATGAATACGAGGACTTAGCAGTAAAATCTGGATTCTCTTCATGTGAAGTCATTTGCAATGCTTACAACAGCTGGATTATGGAGTTCCACAAAAACGCAAATCCCTAAAAGAAATTTGTAGTCACCTGATGCTCTTTGTAGCTTGGTTTTACATCGAAGAAGCTGTATGTTTTCTAATAATAGGTGGCCATCACAATGGTCTGATCAACTTGCGTCTAGCTGCAACGGTGGTCTGAGAAGCATGAAGAGCCCTCCTCTTGTGCCATTGCCAATGTAGTGGTTAGATGCCGGCTGAGTTCACTGAACATCAAGCCTAAACAGCTGTTAGGCTTTCTATTTTGTAAGGGAGTGGAACTTAATTGTGGACGGTTGATTGTATCTCTTGTCTTCATCGCTTTTCAGTTTGGTGGTTTGGTTTGCTAATGCTATGATCGTTTTCTTTGAGCAGGTAAATGCTTTCAACTATTTGAGCTATTACTTGCCATTTTTATTTTTTTAAAATTATTTATACTCGGGTGCATGGATAATTAGTCTTAACCACTCGAGTTATAAGTCTCTTGTTAAAAAATGCTATATTTTTATTCAACAACTTTCGTGGATGCTATTTGGACTCTTAATCTCTTTCAACAAGGGTAATGTGCCGCTAGACTAAATAATTATTGAACTAAATAATTATTGACGGACTATTTTGGAGTGCCAATAACTGATGGACTATTTTGGAGTGCTAATAATGCGCTCTTCATTTTTCTGTCTCCATAAATTGAAAGTATAGATGAGAATGAAACATCCATTCATTTGTGTATTAAAATTCAAAACAAATGAATTATTACCACATGTTTTAGTACAGTCCTACGGGTTTTAGAAGTTAGAATGAACATCACCCAGAAACGGGGAAAGGTTCATATCCGCAAATGAAAATTGGGCCGAAGCTGGGCCCAGTGGTTGATGGGTCAAATTTTTTTAAAGTCGGTTAAAAAAAACGGTCGTCTATCACCTAAGTCTCTCGCTCCATCTTCGTCCTCTGTCGTTCCTGTTTTTCCCTCATTTTCCCGAGAAAATCGGCAGCAAAGGCTTCATTTTTGCCAGGAGGAAAGAACCAGCCTTCATTCTCATGGCTTCAGGTATCTAATTCATCTCTTAAAGCTTCAATTTTGTAATCTTCTATTGGACTCGTCAACGGTCGAATTTTCGCGCCGTTTTTTTTGCAAAATATATACTTTTTGTATAATTGTGCGGAAAATTATGATTTCGATATTGAATTTTGGGACTTATTGCATAAATTATGAGGTTTCAAGTTCTGGGTAGTGTTTATTAGTCGAATATGCATTGTGGTCTGCGTTCTTAGAAATGTTTAAAACGAATTGGAGTTGGAATTCATTCACCACTAATTTGGTTGTTGTGAATTTGGAAAACAAATGGAATTGCGAGTTTTTGGAGTTCAATTTTGGTTATTTTTTCAGAAAATTGAATTCAACAGATAAGTTAAAAAATTTGCTTTGACCAAGTAATGTCTTGCAGATTTTGCTTTCAAAGTTCCAGCTGAACTTGAATCGGCTTTGCGGTTGAACACCGTTCAGTACTATATAACTAAGAGGCCGTGGCTTGGTATGTTTGTTAATTTCATGTTTCTTTCATGCTTCTTTCAAATTATGCTGCCCTGAGCACACACATACATGTACTTGTGTTGTGCATGTGTGCGTGTCAGGTATAAATTTAGTTATTGATGTACTTGTGTTGTGCATGTGTGCGCGTCAGGTAGATTGTCTATGATATCTTATTGTTCCCGGGTTTTCTGTTTCAGATCTTTATGGAATCAATGTGAGACCTGTTGCACCAGTTGGAAGTACAAGTAGAAAAGTACATGTTGATCCAGCGCTGTTGCACCGTACGTTACCGGATGAGCTGCTCTATGAGGTAATAACTGTGTTGAAATAGCTAGTTAAAACTTTGGTCAAGTCTTTAACACAAAGACATTGTTAGCGATGATGAGATTACAATATTCCTTTGCATTCTTCATCCATTACCTTGTGCTTGGTTTTGGAGAAAAATATAGAACAAGGGATATGACTAATAAATGTTTCAAATTATTTTTTTCTCAAACTATAGGTTTTATAATTGCTTTCTTCTACTTTGGAAGTATTCATTCCTGGTACCTGAGCATGAAATATTATGAGTGCTTAAGAATTGATGTTTCATGGATTCTGGATCATTTTGGGACAGACAACTGGAATAGGAGATTGAGTACCATGTTGCATTCCATATTTTGGTTATATGCAAATAAATTAGAATATACAAATACTTTTGGGAAGTGCAGGTCTTTGGTTAAAGATTAGAATATTCATATGCAGGTTTTTGCACGAATGAGTCCATATGACTTGGGAAGGGCAGCTTGTGTTTGTCGCAAATGGAGATACACTATTCGTAACCCTGTTTTTTGGCGCATTGCATGCTTAAAGGCTTGGCAGGTATAATGGTGTTGGCTTTAAAGTTTGATCCAGTTTAAATGTTACTGTATGTAAATATTGGATTTAAAACTGGGGCATCTCTTCTTAAGCTCTCTGGAGTGGTTGAAAACTATAAGATTCTACAAGCAAAGTACGACACTTCATGGAGAAAAATGTGGCTTCTAAGACCAAGGATTCGCACTGATGGTAAGAATAAGATGCATTGTTTCCCCTCCCTTTTTCCTTTCGTTAAAATCTCAACAGTCTATATCTAGATTGTAGACCCTATACACATTGATGATATTTTTCCATGTGAAAATACTCTCAATAAGATTTATTTGTTTTTCACATCTCAGGTCTGTATGTGAGCAGGAATACCTATATTCGTACTGGAATTGCAGAATGGAAGATCACTAACCCAGTTCACTTGGTATGTTCTGGTATATAACTAATACCTCTGGGATTTTGGGATTTTTTTCTTGTTTTGTCAGGGTAGAGGAGCTTCTAGGTGGTGTCAGTCTTTAGAAGTATTGTCTGAGTCTAAGCTGCACTAGGTATACAATTTTTTAAGCATTAGCAAGGCAAAAAGATTTTCTCAGATTTAAGAAAATAGATTGTGAAGAAGCCAATTCTGAATTTCCCCTAAAATGCGAGCTTTAGGAGTACCAAAACTCAGATAGAGCTGTATGTGACTTGAGGAACTAGTACACTGTACTCGTGATGTATGTGCAATCTGGCGTGCCTATTGTTCTGCCAGTGAAGTGGACAAAGTTACTTCCTTGTGCATGTACATAATTTGAACAAGTTATTCTTTACATTTCTTGAAATAGAAATCAAGAGGTGAATGGGAATGATTTACCTTCGCAGGTCTGAGATTAGTATTTTACCATTTGCATGTACTCCTTGTTTTAGATCTCAATTACACTTGGCAAATCTGTAAATCCAGCTAAGTGGACTCAACACCCCAGATGCTTGCTCAATGTCTTGTTTTACATGGAGTCAATTAAGTTTTGGACATTACTACTTTATTTCTCTTGTTTAGGTCTATTGGAGGCCAAGTGGCCAACAAAGCTACAGAGTTTAATGGGGTATTTTCCCTTTCCCATCCCAAATACCCCAAACCACCACTCCCTGGTAAATGCATGACTTGATCCTAGGTCCTTGAAAACGATTCTCATTGTGGATGCATATTTGCCATACTAGTACTTGCAACCTAGTTGTGACTTGTGGTTTTAGCTGCCTCAACGAGTTTTAGCGTTAGCTGAAACTGGGAAATCGTATAGTCAAACAAAAAGTAGTTGCAAAGCTAGTCTTTTATGTAATTATTCCCAGCAGTTGGCAATCATCCCTTTATTTTTATTTTTTTCTGCTTTTGCAGGTGTGCTATTACCGGTACATGAGATTTTTTCCTTCTGGCCGATTTCTGTACAAGGTTGGAATTTCTGAAGTTTTTCATAATAAATTTAAGTATATTAATGATAATTTTCTGTATCTGATTATTACTATTTTCTCTCGTTTTTTGCACTGTCAGAATTCATCTCAAAAACTCAAGGATGTAGCAAAATTCATGAATTTCCGTTCAGCCAAGGCAGACTCTGTTTTCAGTGGCCATTACACATTCTCAGATGATAAGGTCAGGCTATGTTTCTTTGCATCCGTTTAACTACCCTGCAAGTTTTGGTTGATCGTCTTGCTTAAAATTTAGTTTCACCAGTTATTGATTTTCTACTTATAAGCACACATATTCTACTACTATTCTACATTGTTTAGTTTGCATCTTAAGTATTTTTCTTTACTCTTCCCTTGTAGGTTGAAGCTGCAGTTTTGTATCCAGGCATGCGCCCTACTGTGTTGAGAATCCGCCTAAGGTATTTCAATAGCGTGTAGATCCTTCATTGATTTTAAGCTATTATCATGTTTATCATCTCTCTTACATTTTATGTAGTAGGCTCAAGGTGGTATTTTTAATGGGTTTTTTTTTTTTTTTTTTTTTTAAGGTGCAATAGTTACACTGTGTAGTTAAGTGCTGTGATTAAAGATTGACTCATTGGCACATGCAACCATTGGTTCCTCATGTCAGAATGTGATAGTTGCACTGCTAAAATATAAGTTTTGAAGAAATTGAGCTAACAGAGGCATGTTTGTCATATTAGAAAACTTCCATTAGATTCTGTTTCTTAAAATGGGATATGTTTGCACCCTAGATAACGCTTTCAAATGGTGTGGAGAGACTGTCGTGTTTTTTTGCATAGTTTCTAATTCGTAAGTTTTTTCTTCTTCTGCTTTTCTGTTTCTCATATAGGTTAAGAGGAACAACAGTAGGGGCAAACAATAGGATGGATTTACTCTCACTTGTTACAAGTGGTGTGAACGATAATGAGGTTTGTGGCCCTGATGAGGATATCCTTGGGGTGGTTGAAGGGTGGCAGGATGACGAGACTCACAACCCAGATGTGCCGGCTGTCTCACACAAGAGGGGTCTAACACCCTTTGTCTTCGTTCCGTTTGAGGAGGTATGTGTGTTTCTTCTTTTTCACTTTACTTTCTGCAACCAAATCCCTTTGTGGCCAAGACGAGTTTTCATTAATCGCCTGCTGAAAGCAAAGAAATGTTCACATCATATGTTGTCATTTTGTTGTGAAATGTTTGGTGTTTGCTTTTGTTGTGATGTAGGTAGAGACATCGTTTCTGAATCTGCCGGTGGAGAAGATGGATTATTTCGTACCTGGCTAACACCTCAAAGATGATCTTCATTGTAAATACATTGTATAGTCAGAAGAAACACTTGGAATTCTTTTCACAATGTTATTATCGGTCTGCGCCTTTGTTTTTGCTTCTGGTATTCTCTCGTTTGCCGGAATTTTATGTATCAAAACATAAAGTTATGTACAATATGAGTTGTTGTATCTGTTGGTATGACGGATTTGAGGAATAAAGTGTATTATTTCCCAATGCTACATTTTACTTGATTTCTCATACGACAACTCCATTGGAACTTTTATC